AATTAATAACTTTTACTAACTAAAATTGAAAATAAATAAATTACTTATTTTAGTACTAGTGTGAAAGTTACGTACATGAGCACTTCTACACTAACAGATGGATAGCTCACAGAATTAATACAGACAAGGGGTGAAAGATTTTTTTGGCATTTTTTATTGAAACATGGGGCCCACACACGTGGAAGTCTTCTGGTAAAATTCTATGAAGAATATTTCTATACAAATGGAAATAACCTACGTACATAGTACCAGAAGGATAGTGAAGTAAGATGTGATGCTGACAATGGTCACGAGCATGTCAAGACAGGCATCCAAAACTAACTGCCCCTAACAAGGTACTTTCACATTTAAAAAAAAAAAAAAAAGGAAGACTGAACCACAATAGATTTAGGATCAAGCTACATTTTGAATAAAGAGAACAAAATATTTTTTACATCAACTAGTAAGCACAGGCACATAAAATTCTTCAGAAAGCAAGAGGTCCGGCACATCATAAATCAAACACAAAGAAATCCCAGTATTTAAAGATTTCAACAGTTATTAAGATTATAGAGTCGATCAACTAAGCAATAAAATCTATTAAAAGCCCTGAAAAGCCTCATACTGCTGGAACAGGGGCATCTTTAATAGATTCACGCCAAGCATATTCCCTCGCCCCATCTTTGTCAACAATTTTGATTACAAAGTTTGGTGGGGCCACGACCAGCCTACTTCGTATTTCCATTATAACCTTGTCAACTAAATCAATGGCTTCTTCAACTGTCATGTCTTTGCGGTAGTGCCTATCCATCATGGAGAGTGCAAAATATGATCCATAACCAAATGCTGCTTTATCAAGCTTGTGAAGAGAAGCAATATAATCAATAAAGTAGAGAGACGGGCCTACATCCTTGTCGTGGCCAGCCATGATGATATTCACCATATATGGATTCTGGGGGGAAAACAATCAGCAAAATTTAGTTATAAATTTACGAACCAAATTTGGGCCAAATATTGACAACTTAAGTGCCTGTTTGATTCCCTTTAATTGGAGAGAATGAGTTTAAGAGTATTTTTAAGAAAATGTGGGGTTAAAAAGTAAAGAAAAGTTTTGTGAGAATGTGTAAAATATTTTATTGTGTAAATGTGTGGTTGAAAATGATCCTGTAGCAAACCATAAAATAAATTAATGCGAATCAAACAGGCCCAAAATTCGTCCTTTTATTTTCCCAATATCATCAAACATTCAGTATGCAATATGCACCTTCAATCTAGTCTTCCAACTACCTCGGTTGAAGAGGGAGAAAGATTGAATGATATAAATAAAATTAAGCAATGAATGCTCAATCAACAGAGACACTCGGAAGACTCATTGCATGTATAAAGAACTACACAAGCACCATTCAAAGACATAAGAGGTATGATACATGATTACTTGGTAAATAGAAGTATGCTAATGTAGTAAAGTTAGTGCAATTGGACCTCTGTTTTTCTACCGAAACATTTATTCACTGATTGCATGCCAAGTAATGAATAATCCTAGTGCATCTAGAACTTGACTTCCAGATATGAAAGAAAAAAAAATCCGGAAATACACCCACAGCCAT